TCGGCGTAGAGGGTGAGGTGTTGCCTGGACCACTCAGCGCCCAGTTTGGAATCCAACCGTTTAGTGATCATGGTGGAGAACGCAGCGAAGAGCAGCGGGGAGACCGGGCATCCCTGCTTGACTCCTCTCGATGACTGAACATCAGAGGAAAGGAGGCCTATTCGTATGCGGTACACGCTACGATCAATCCAGTGCAGGAGAATGTCGGCTGGACTGCCTGCAATACCTGCCTCGCTCAGGGCCACACGTAGCTCTTCCCGCGGCATCACGTCAAACGCCGTGGACATGTCCAAGCACACCTGGGCACCGCCGGACAGCGGGGCAGAGCGGAGACCCGCTCGTTTGGAGTGCACCGTCCGTTTGTTGCTGTCTCTTAGGTCCTGCGCCTGATGACAGTGATAGAACACACGACGTAGGGCCTCCTGGGTGGAGCGCCCACTGACGTACGCATACTGAGGGGAATCTAGGACATATGTCTCGAGATCATGCTTGATTTTCCTGAACAGCATGCTGATGGAGGCTTTCCCTAGAGCATCGATCAGTCCTATGGGGCGGTAGTGTCCCGGGGTGGTGCCCGGTTTGCCAGGTTTAAGGATGAGGGCCAGGCTGGCCGTGCACCAATCTGCGGGGATGCCGGCACTTCCTGCGCGCCATCTGTGCGTGAGATCCGCTGCGACTGTGTGTGCTACCTGATCACTGCAGAGCCTCCAGACGGCCCCGGGGGATGAGCCCGGCAGACCTGCTTTAGAAGCGGACAGGTCATCAATGGCCTCCTGGACTTCATGTGGTGTGACCTCTACATCTGCAGCTGTCGCGACAAAGGCTTGTGGAATGGCGGACGACGCTTGGTAAAGCTGCTCGAAGTGCCTGCGCATCTCACTGAGCTCAGCCTCAAGGCGTTAGGAGCTGCCCATCCAGTCTGAGCTGGAACTTCCTGTAGATAGCCTTAGGGGCGAGTTCCTGTATGAGCTTATAATGGGTGCGGAAGTCCTTGTCTGCGGCAGCCTTACGCGCGGCCTCAAGGAGTCTCGCAGTGCGCTGTTGTCGTAGCAGTCGACCCCGGGCCTTGGCAGCGCGGTGCAGTTTCTGGAAGAACAGGGTATGTTTCCAGATTTTGAACGTCTCAGCAAGGGAGGGCTTACCTAGGGATCTACGGACAATTGCCGCGCGTGAGCGGAAGTGGCCCCACATGGTGTCGGCGTATCCTATCATAGTGCCGTCTTGCCACGGTTTGACGGATTTCTGAGGGGGGCGTTTGGGGAAGATCCTACGGGCTATGTCGAAGACTCGGGCTTGCAGCGTCTCGATAGTGAGGGTGTGCTTGGTGGTCAGTTCCTGAACTTCTGTGCGGAAGCGGGCGACTCTGGGATCCTGTTCGTCCTGACAGGCTTTGAGAACCTCCATACGATCAACCTCCGATTGGCCTATGGCTTGCTGTAGTTTACGATGCTCCCATGGTTGCCAGTGGTACATCATTTTAGCACAGACAGGGAGATGTCTAGGTCCTCCCCTCCAGCGCCCTACCTGGTACTGTTGAAGCGGGTATGCACAACGGGCAAGGCCCCCGGCATGCAGCCTGCGTGTGATCCAGAAATCAATCTGTGATTTCTGCGCATTCCACTGGTGTGTGGGGGGGTGTGCTGCGCAAAGGTATTTAGCAAGACCAGGTCAAGGCCCTTAAGGAGAGCTGCAAAGTCGTCAGCATCCTGGACACCATGATCGGGTTTGTACAGTATGTGCCGGCCAGTGCGGGGCGGATCAACGGTGGGCGGGGTGTTAAAGTCTCCCCCAAGAAGCAGTCTGCTGCGAAGCGGGACAGCTTGTATTTGCTGGGTGAGAGCATCCCAGGCCTTGTGACGCAATGATTGGACGTGGGCCGTGGGCCTCCAGGTGTGTTGGTAGAAGTTGATAACGTCCACCTGTCGCGGCCCATGCTTGAATTGCACGCGGAGGATACGGCCGTCAATGGCAGAGATGAACCTCAGCGAACCGGGGTCAACTATGCGTTTGGAGATGACAGTGAGCAGGCCAGCTTGATTATATGGTCTTTGGCGTTGGTGCCCGAGTGGATGAAGTAGTGGGTGTCATCCTCCCACTGTGACTCAAATCTCCACTTCGTTTCCTGTAACAGGGCTACGTCAAAGGCGGAGCGTTTGAGGAATAAAAAAAAATCATCATACAGTCCTCCGCCCAGGCCGCCGGTGTTCCAGGTGAAGAGTTCATAGTGCTTGGTGGTGCGAGTTGTTGCGTAGTCCGGGCGATTGACTTTCCTCTTATTGACAATGGGATCGGCGGGTTGATACTGCGGGTCTTGTGTGATCCATCTACCACGGTACCATGCCCCACCCTGATCCCGAGCTCTGCGCAACGCTCTGATGTATGAGCGTTTGTGTACCCTTGATGAGCCCTGAGGGTGCGACGCATGTGTCGCCTGTGCGCCCAACGGAAGCTTTGCGGTGCAGCGTGAAGGGGCCATGTGGGACGGGCCCGCTTCAGTCACGCCCTGGGCTGACGTGACAACCCTCGCGTCTAATGCTCCAGATGTTCTTTGGAGGAGTAGGTAGAAAACGCCTAAGCTGAACCAGTGCTGCGGGCGTTTTATTGCATATCTGGAACATTCCCCGGACTTGGGACCGGGGGGGCCGAGATGTGTGTGCCTTTCAACTTTGATGTGTGTGTGCGTGCTTATGTTTGGGGGTGTCCTCGGAGTCTTATCCCTGAGTCGCGAAGTGCTGACAACTAAAGACATCAAAAGGTTGTGACTCCAGACCTGAGGGGCCAGCCATCCTCGCCAGTGGTCGTCCGGTATGCGGAGGCGCCAGGAGCGCCAACCTCGGAGAAGGCTGTGATGACTGGCACACAGGAGGTGCCAGGGGGTCAGCGCATCCGTACAGCACATGGGTGTCAGTAGTGCGTCGGGCCAGAAGCTAGTCCTGCTAAGGACAGGTCCTCTGGCAGCGCGGTCTTTGGGGCATTGACGCCTGCGTATGCGTGTCCATGGGTGCAGCTGGAACCTTCTGGTGCGCATGAAAGTGGGTACATAAGCACTGATACATCGCGGGGTAGGGAGCCTGAACAGGAAGTTTGGGTGGGGCATAGGTGTCAGTCTGTCGTTGGGCGGCGGAAGGAAGCCTATGCTTAGTCCAATACCCATACACAGGCCTGGAGGCCAGGGGGTGAACTGCGAAGCGCTTACCAGGCTGCTGTGGCCTATGCCAGCCCCGGACGAAACCCCTGCTGCACAAGGAGCCTGAAATGTCACGTGGGCAGTTAAGATGCAATCGTGGCGGCAATGCTTGCAGAGACACGTGTAACTGCGGGAGAAAGTGGCAGAGGTGCCTAAGCGGGTGGTGGCTTACACGGTAACCTGCACAAAGCTTAGTCAAGTGATGCCCGGGCATGGCTCCTGCGTGAGCTGCGCACCACAGGATCCAAGGCAGCTGGTGGGCCGGTGACGCTTGTACCTGCGAAAGTCGGGCTAGAGGGACATAAAGGATGTGGGTACAGCTGGGGGGGTCGCACTGTGCCAGGTGAGCCGTGCTGAGAAGGCAGTGCCATGGGGCGGGAGGCAGCATGTAGCGATTGGTATCTCCTACTGCAACAGCTTCCATGTGATACCCCGAAGTGCAATCAGGGTTCTCGGATAGGGTAGAAGGGAGGCGGGCGGAGGCAAACCTCCAACTCCGCGCCCTCGCACACACGCCTAAGTCATGGTTCGTTCCAGCTATAGCCGAGAGTCGAATCCTGCGAAGAGGCTCCACCTTAGTCCAGGCTGTGCAGATCGATCTTCGGCAAGGTGGCATCATGCTGTGACCTCGTAGTAGAAGAACCGGTGGGGCGTGAGCTTGGGCTCGCTCTTCCGCTGCATGATCCTCTGATGTTTTGAAGTCCTGTTGCACCAACGCTCGGGCATGACGTTTGGCATCTGCTTGGGTGGGTGCCGTCTGAAGCCAGTCGCCAGAGTGAAAGCAGGAGTGTGAGAACCTGATACCACGTAGGCGTATATTGCAGGCGAGCAGCTTGGGGGTGTCTGCGGTAAGGATCTGTTCTCTGCCATGGTCCAACCATAGTTTAGCCTTGGATGTCTGTACGTCGCCGCATTCTTGACCACCTGTGCTGTCGCGATTGGTATTAGCAGGGTCTGTATGGCCAGTGGGAGTCTCCATGTAGGCATAAGAACCAGAACCAGTCAGGAAGCCGAAGGTGTCGTGACAGAGTCAGAGGCGCCGCGCGTTCCCAATGGCGGCTACCAGAAAGACCCTGAAGAGCCCCGAAGGGGAAAAGGGGGGAAACCAAGAGGGGGAAAACAACACACACGGACCCCGGGCACAACTCAACGCGGCTCGGGCCCAGACGCTTTGGTGGTTTTGGTGGTGGTGGTGGTGGTGGTGGTGGTGGTGGTGGTGGTGGTGGTGGTGCTGGTGGTGGTGGTGGTGGTGTGCTTTGTTTGTTCTTGTTTTTTTTTTTTGTATTCGTGGTGTTGCTCTTCTAGCGTCATCGTCGGTATCGTTGCCGTCGTCGTTGTCTGGTTTTCTTGTCCCGGTCATTTCGTTAGTCTTAGTACTCGTGTTCTTGATGTTCTCATGTTTGATCTTGTTCATGGTATTTCGTGGTATTGTCATGGCCATTGTCACCAGCCTGCTTCTTGTAGCCAAGCGCCAAGACTGCTGGCAGAAGTCCCTAAACCCTGAACCCGAATCCCT